TTTTTTTTTCTGCTCAACAATCTTGTAGTTGTGAATGAATTTTGTATAGCCGCCGTGTTTAACGTCCTCGGTCGCTTAGGCCAGTTTACACCTCAGCAAAGGGAGCCACAACCGGGCGCTAAGGAGTCGGGAAGTTGAGTTAGAAGTATGCAGATCGAATTGTGTAGCGAGCATCCGTGGTACCCTTCTTCTCCTCTGTGGAGTACGGTTTCCTTTTGTTTACAGTTGAGACTTATCCACCATGCAAGTTAGCCGCCCAGGGGATGTGGGCTGCAAGTGAACGAGTTGTTGGTTCACTTCCCTCGGTCCCCCACCGTAATAAGCGCTCGGAGAATGACGTGGACTTCGGCTGATTGATTCGCCGATCCAGGCAAGAAAACGGACAGCGGTCCGATCGCGTTAGGGCTAGGGACTTATCTCATGCTAGTACGACTAACCATGCATCTAAATGAAATTATCAGGGCTTTAGACTAATCATGTCTTGTTTTTTAACGCCAGGATTTTCTTGGGGTTCTCCACAAGTGGGTTATAGAGCAAACCAAAGCCGATAATCTAGGTGGGGGAAAACAAGGGTACAGTACTACTTAGTTTTAGATAGATACATAAATACATAGATATTATTTTTTTATTTTTTTTATTTTTTTTGGCGCGAGTACATTTCGGAAATGCAACGGGGTTAACACTAATGTAGTTTTTTCACCAACGATGCCGATATGGATTGCAATTTGCATTGTGATTTGTCCGAAGTTTTGATCTTCACTTTGCCTTGCTCATCATTGGTCGGTCTGGGGATTCATCCATCCCCAGTTCAGGACAAAACTGGAACTTCCTCCCCCTAGTACCTCTTATACTGAAGCTTCGTCCTTCGAGATCATGGGCGAGACGTGGAGCGCTAAAGCTCCGCCCCCGTTGAGGGGCTGCGGAGGACCTTCTCCGAGCCATTTTTAGAGCACCGCGCAAAAGATACATGTTGCTATTTAAGGCTGGCGCTTAGATTGAGAGCGTACATTGCCCTCTTCAAGGGAAATCAGTCACGGGGGGCGCGGGATGCGTTGCTGCTTGCCAGTATTGACAGGGTTCCCAATTATTAAATACCCCCTGCCGGGATGACTTTTACTTTTAGTAAACCACACCTTGGGATGGTAAATCTGACGACCGGGGCAAGATACTATGATTTTGAACGTGGCCAGGACGAAACGATTCTGGCGGCGACTGCGGCCTCGAGCCAAAGATCAGGACAATACACCCAAATGCCAGCCAAGAAAGGCCTTCCCTGCCGGACTGAAATTGCTCTGCGGCCCGAATGATGGGACGATTGAGTATGTGCCCTCCCAAGCTGAAGAAAACGACTGCTGATGTTTCTCTCCAGTATCGTCTTTGTCCACGGTCTGACCGGTGATCGCGATGCAACATGGACTGCTCCAGGCGCGGAGGAACCTTGGCCCAAAACCCTCCTCCCTTCAAAGCTTCCGACAGCCCGCATCTTCACGTTCGGATATGATGCATATGTGGCAGACTGGCGAGGTGTAGTATCGCGGTCTCTCATTGCCAATCATGCATATAATCTGCTAGCATCTCTTTCATCCTATCGAGAGAACGACGCCACGGTAGGGCGATCACCTCTATTGACGCCACATTTGCATCGCTGACCGCCACTTAGAATGAACGACCCATTATATTTGTCTGCCATAGCTTAGGTGGACTAGTCTGCGAGGATGTACGCTATTACCTGATTCTGGGAGGGGGGCTGCACTAATTGCGCGTCACAGGCCTTGTTCACGTCGAAACAACGACCGGAGCCGCATCTCCACAACATCCTTCGGTCCACTCGTGGTATTATATTTCTCGGCACACCACACCATGGAGCTAGCCTTGCCAAATGGGCCGATTTTGTATGCCGATCCATTAGCCTTGTTAAGCAAACGAATTCCGAGATCGTCAACGTCCTCAAGCGCGATTCTGAGGTGCTTGCGCGGATCCAAGACGGCTTTCACACGATGGTGCGAAGTGTAGGACCACCACCGATCGAAGTGACTTGCTTCTATGAAGAGGTGCCCGTGTTGGGAGTTGGTTTAGTAAGCCATGCCAAAGTCGGGGCCCTTTCCTCGAAATGCTGACGTCTGCCACAATAGGTCGTGCCACAAGATTCGGCCGTTCTGCCGGGCTATGTCCCCATTGGGATTCATAGCAATCATATGGATATGACCAAGTTTGCCAGTATCGATGACCCTGGGTTTATGGCTATTTGTGGAGAGCTGCGTCGGTGGAGTAAAGACACGGGGGGTGCGAACCAAAGCGGCCATGGTAGTTCATCGCGTGCTGCGCAGACCGGACTTGCCCATCAGTACGGGGCCAATAGTCATCAATACAATCAGTTCGGCGGGGGCACGCAGAACATTGTAGGCAGCCACCAGTATCAGGCGCAAGGGGATATGAATTTCGGCATGGTGCCGTCTAAATAGTCTGCAAAGGGCAAGACGGCGTAACAGTCATTAAGGAGAATTATTTGGAAGAGTCATACTTAGATAGTCATACTTAGATCTTTGAAGAGCATTAACACTTGGTCGAGGATGAGGAATGGCAATTGTGGGTGGGCTAGGTGGACGAGTACTCCTGGAGCTTCATCCAAGCACCGGCTGCTAGAGTAGATCTTACCCCCCCCCTCATCTCGAACATCAATATAACATTCGGAGTAACACAAAGCAAAGCACCACAGATATTCCCAAGTCACAAGTGATTGACTGAACGACAGAATGACATCTCCGGAAGTCGAACCACAGTTTAAATACTCTTAAGCACTTTTCTGCGTTTTGTCATGGTGGTGTCAGGGAATTAGTTATGGCGGCTGGTTGAGAGTAGATCTAACAACCGGTTTGGATTCGGAGTGGATGCAGTATAACTTCCTCGGAGCCCGTGGGCTGACACTAAGTATAATATGTCTTGTTAGTAGTATGCACGGAGTACTTATTGATGTAGACATGGCCGCCAATCGCACAAGCCCGGGGATATAAACAAGCTGTTCTATATTCTTGCGAATTCCACTCATATATCTAACCGTTCAACAATGACACCGATCTTTGCGAGTTTTCTTTTTAGGTTGTAATAACCCCGGTCAAGGTATTTTACACCACCAACCACGGACCGTCCTCTCCCAACCACTGCTGCAAGAATAAGGCTAGCAGTGGCTCTCAGATCCGAACCAAACACGAGTGCCCCAGAAAGCCTCTCAACGCCACTGATTATTGCTGTCTGTTCGCAAACACGTATACCAGCCCCCATAGCCTGGAGACCAAAGCATTGGCCGAATCTTCTCTCAAAAATAGATTCAATAACATGACTCGTGCCTTGAGCTAAACAAAGCAACACCATAAATTGCGGCTGTAAGTCTGTTGGAAATGCCGGATAGGGTCCCGTGATAATGTCGACAGCTAAGGGACGTTTGGCTTTCCGGACTGTTATAGAATTGTCTGCTATATGAACACGAGCACCCACTGCTTTAACTTTCTTGATCAATATTACATGCTGCTCAGGATGACAGGGATATACCGTAAGAGGGTTCCCGCATATCGCCCCCAGAATTAGAAACGTGCCCACCTCTATCCTATTTTCCATAACATGGTACTGACAAGGCGACAGAGGCAGTGTACTACGACCATGGATGACAAGATGGTCCGTCCCCGTGCCATGAATTTCTACTCCCATGTGGACCAGGAAGTTGATCAAATCACCCACTTCGGGTTCACGAGCTGCGTTGTGGATGTGTGTCACGCCGCGCGCCAAACAAGCGGCCATGATGAGATTCATGGTTCCAGTCACCGAGGGGGTCTGCATATAGATGGTTGCTCCTTGTAACTGAGAAGCATGTGCCTCAATATGCGTGTCTGTCACGCTGACACGAGCCCCGAGCTTTCTGAGGCCTTCGATGTGTTCTTCAACTGGACGTGTCCCAATGCTACAGCCACCAGGGAAACTTAAATAGGCATGTCCGAATCGAGCAACGAGCGGGCCCAGGAACAATATCGACGCCCTTAAGCTATGAGTAAGCTGTGCAGGAACAGAAAGAGACATTGCATTTGTGGTGTCAATATTAAGAAGGTTATCGCTAACCTGCGTAACATCGGCCCCAAGGTATTGCAGGATAGAACCTATGCGTTTGATATCTGATACTGGTGGAAGACCATGCAGCGTACTGGGCCCGGCAGCTAGGAGTGTTGCCGCCATGAGTGGTAGCCCAGCATTCTTAGAACCAGAAACCTGAACCTCTCCGGTAACATCTTGGCCACCATCGATGGTGATAACGTTTGGCATTGGATTGAGGGGAAAGGTATGAGGACAAAAAGAAGGCCCCAGACGCTAGCAATGATGTATATTAAGAGATCAAAAGTTTGGATTGGTAAGCCCTAATGTACAGAGTACTAAAAGAGACACCCGCAGGAGGCACTGCGAGGAGGGGAGATAATAGGCACATTGCGCACGCGACACCATAATTTAAATACTCGACCAGATCGATTGGAGGCTATGTTTGAGATTGGGAATGTGGGCCAGATTACTTTTTATTGCATTTCCATCCATTCAAAATAGTAGTAGCGGTGTGTGTGTGTGTGTGTGTGTGTGTGTGTGTGGGCGGGGGAGGTAATTTCCTTTCAACCTGATGCAGTTAGCGTGTGCAAATCCATCTTCAGCTCGTGGCCTATTTTTATTTACGGAGTAGATTTCCGCGCACCATAACGTACTAGCGTTTAATCCTTGGACCCCTCTCGTCCACGCGGCTCTTTTGGGGTCTATCGTTGAGTTTCTGCTAAAGCAGCAGCCAGCAGGACATATGCTCTATCATCAGAGACTGTTATAGCCCGACAGCGTTGTTGGTATGCCACATGGGGAGGAAATGCGAGATTTTGTCGATAGACATCTCCAAGTTCTATCGACGTGGTGTCCCAGAACTGATCGAGCAGATCTGTTTACTTTATCAAATCAGTAATATGGTGGATTATCCGTATTTAAAGGAGATTAGAGGTTGAATGGACTAGGATTGGCGTATCTGAATTATAATAGAGAGAGTACCAAGCATGCTGCTGCCAACTTGCCATAATCTAGGATGATGATGCAACAGCTGCAGGGAAAGATATTTATAGTTCTTTGTAGTCAAAGTAGCTCCCATCAATAAGTAACACTAATGAGATAATCCGCTAGTTCTTCCACAACCTTAGCCGCCTCTAGGTGTTGAACCGGTGCGCCGTATTCTGCCACGATAATAGCTTGTGTAGTCTTCACAACAATTGCCCCATCAGCTCGCTAAACGACACTTAAGAGTTAGATCCTATTCTGCATTAAGGTCCCTGTAAATGCCCACCGCTTTAAGATAAATACTGCGCGGATTAGTAGAAAGAGTGAAGAACTTCCTTCCAGCAAGTTCTAAGCCTGAGTTTAGAACATGATCTCGATCGTTATAGGCGTCAGACACTGTCCGCTGCTCCTGTGTCGATAACTGGAAGAACACAGTGTCAAGCTTAATGACTTGGTAAATTCGTTGAAAATAGTTGGAGTGCTTACTTCGTAGCCAATGCTATGTGCCCAAACACCACCCCGCTGTCCTAGTATGACGGCGCGGGTAATCTTGCCGCTGCCGATTAAATGATGGTCAACATAGGCTTGATTTTATTAGCAAACTGTAGAGTACTGTTATGTGGGAGGATCTGGGGCCTGCCATACCTTGCCAAGACATCTTGCTTTAAGGGTATATTGTGAGTTGTGACAGAAGGGATTTCAAATGCTTCAATGTTGCTTTCATCCATGTTACAGAGAGAGGATGCGGTGGTCTTATACCTCGACGGGCTGGATTACTGCTAGTCTGTGTTTTCTGCTGCCAATAGTCATATTTACCTGAACTACCCCGCCTAGCCCAAGAAAATATATGCATACGCCATCATGCATGGGTGATAGACAACACCCTTAGGAGTAACTTAATAGGATGATAATCTATTCTGCTTTTGGGTCAAAGGGTCATCATATGACTACGTACATGTGTACCTCAAAGTAGCTGCAGGACTGGGCTCAGGCCTCCAGGCCGCCACTTTATTTTGCCCCACGGGCGTTACCCTAAGCGCTTTTTCCCAGCACACGTCTAGATATTCAGATATTGTTACAGAAGAACCCACTCTAAATTCCAAAGAACTCTAGTTTTTACTAATATGACGACATGCGTCATTTACCCCCAGAAATAATCATCAAGAAAGATCTTTAAATCCTTTCTTTTTCGGGACACTTACCATAGCTGCTGGCATCTATACTGAAAATGAAAAAAGTTATGGTAATGTCCGGCTGCTATATGATTGGGCCTACGTAGTCGGTATAAAATCTCCCAGTCTGTAGCTGCAAGTATTTCTCCTACACCAATTAAAGACCGCATTAAAAAAAAAAAAGAAAAGAAAAAGGCAGTATCTGCACTGCACATGCAACAGTTGTCACAGCGTAAGATATGTACAATGATGTAAAGAAGCATACTGTATATGCACCTTCGTCTCTTCGTGCAGTACCCAATTAGAGACGATGGAATTCTGCAGGTGAGCATATCTGTCACCGGCTGGCGAGCTTCAAAGTCAAAAGTATTATTCTGTTTAGTGTGATTCAGCCAGTGTTACCATGCGATAGTCCTAGCTCGAAGACAATAGAATAGTGCAAGGATTTGTTATATACTAAAATCCAGAAAAGCTGTGATGTGGTTCTTAATACTCCTCTACATGGCGAAGATGATAGATCACGGAGAAGGCCATTCACGAACTTTATTATAGCCTTTAATATAACTTCTGTAGTATTGTCTAGAATCAAGAGCTCTGGTCTGTGTGAGAACACCGTATATTGTTCGTCAACAGTTTAGTTGCTGTACAGCGTGTCTGAGGGGTCGATATCGCTGAACTTGAAGGTTTTATACTAGGTCGAAATAGTTGTGTGGCTGACTACACAGAGCTTTGTACCTAATGAGGCCTAGTTGCAGATATCATGGACCTGCATAAACCCTACTAGCCCACTAAGAAATAAGCTACAACGATCATATGACGATCTACTACAAGCACCCTAAGAGAAGCGACGATGTCCGAAACAGGTAAGGTACGTCAAGTGTAGAAAGTCCGGTACGTATAAAGAAGAATAGACATCATAAAGCATAAAATTTAAATCTCCGCTTCTATTTCATAAACATAAAGCGTGTTCAACAAAAGAAGAGTCGTCCAGCGACTTTCAAATCCACATCCACATCTAGATACGGACCATAACTCACAGACCCAGCCAGTAGCGAGTCTTCTCGACCTTAAAGGACGACTTGAGAACACCCTCGCCAGTACCAGTAACAAGAACCTCGTACTCGCCCTTCTCGGACGCCCACTTCTCGCGCATCTCATCAAACCAGCTCGTTGCCAGCTTCTTCTCCACGACGATCTCGACCTTCTTCTGCTCACCAGGCTGCAGGAAGACCTTAGTGAAGCCCTTGAGTTCGCGGACGGGCCGGTTGACTTCCGTTGCGGGAGGAGCGACCCAGAGCTGGACGATCTCTGCACCGGCTGCCTTGCCGGTGTTGGTTACTGTGACGGTTGCGGTGATGGGCTCGCCGCCTTCATCGTATTGGGGCTTCTCGGGAGTGGTGGTGAGGGTCAGGTCGGAGCGGGTGAAGGTGGTGTAGGAGAGACCGTGGCCGAAGGGGAAGAGAGGGGCCAGATCGGTCTTTTCGTAGTAGCGGTATCCGACGTAGACGTCTTCGCCGTAGAGGACACGGCCGCGCTCGGAGCGGAAGTTGACATAGCTGGGGTTGTCCTGCAGACGGACGGGGAAGGTGATTGGCAGCTTGCCGGAGGGGTTGACGTCGCCGTAAAGCACGTCTGCGATACCATTACCACACTCGTTACCGCCGAACCAGGCTTGCAGGAGAGCCTTTGTCTTGTTGGCCCATGGCATGGTCACTGGGGTGCCGCTCTGGATCACCACGACGGCGTTCGGGTTGACGTCCAGTACGCGGGAGATCATCTCGTCGCTGCCAGGGGGAAGGTCCATGTGGTCGCGGTCGTAGCCCTCGGTTTCCCACTCGCTGGTCAGACCGGCGAAGATGACCACCTGTTCGGCCTCGGAGGCGAGCTTGACGGCGTTGGAGATGAGCTCTTCCTGGCCAACGCGACGGCTGGCTCCGAAGCGGAAGCCACCGGGTCCGAAGGCTACGACGCCGCGGGTGTCGAGGTCGGAGGTCGGTGCTGTGCCGAACTGGAAGAGGACCTTGTATGTTCGGCCGGCCTTGAGCTCCTTCGAACCCTTCTCTTCGACGGTAGCAGTGCCGAAGAATGCAGAGCCCTGGCGTTGGTTCTTGGTGTTGTCAACGACGAGCTCACCATCGATGAACAATTGACCGGTACCGACGACGGTGACGCCGAAGTCGTAGACACCGTCTTCCTCGGGGGTGAAGAGACCCTCCATGTCAACAAAGTAGGTGAGAGACTGGATCTTGGGGTTGACGTAGTCCATGAGGAATCCGCTCGACGAGACCAAGTGCAGTTCCTCGACAAGTTCACGGTTAGATTCGGAAGGATGTTCGTTGTACACCTTGAATGTGAATCCGGTCTTGCCGTCGGCCGTCTTCAACAAAGGCCCGAGGAGGGGAAGGTCCTTGTGCGAGTAGACACCCTGGGCGAACTTGACCTCACCCTTACTCTGAGCCGAGACACCGTCGAACGGGGTGACAGTGTAATAAGCATCCAAAGACGCGGAGCCACCACCGCAGTACGCCGCAACCTTGGAGTTAGGACCAATAACCAGAATAGATTTGTCCTTCTTCAGAGGCAAGATATCCTCCTCGTTCTTCATGAGAACAACAGACTCCGCCGCAGCACGGCGGAGAAGAGCCTGGTCCTGTGGCCGGTTGAGAGCCTTCTCTGGGGCATTCTCCGGGATATTCAGGCCATCCACAAAGTTGACCAGGTTCAACACGTTGCGGACACGCTCATCCATGACAAACTCAGGGACCTTGTTGGACGAAACGGCATGTGCCAGGGCAGTTCCACGCCAGCGTGTCTTGCCCGGCATCTCTAGGTCCAAACCAGCCATGATTGCATCACTGGTACTGTACGTACCGAACCAATCACTCATGACCAGGCCATCCCACCCCCACTCCTTCCGCAAGATATCCGTGATGATGTCCTTATTCTCACTAACATGTGTTCCATTCACCTTGTTATAAGCCGTCATGACACAGGCCGTTCTGCAAATTCTCATAGCCAATTGAAAAGGCAAAAGATAGATCTCGCGCAGAGCCCGCTGCGTAACAATGCTATCAACAGCCATACGCTGATGTTCCTGGTCATTGCACACAAAGTGTTTCAAAGTCGCCGCAACGCCCTTCTCCTGAATACCCTTGGAGAAGTGACCGGCCAAGTGTCCAGAAAGCACACCGTCCTCGGCAAAGGACTCGAACCCACGACCTCCGAGCGGAGACCGCTGGGTGTTGATCGTGGGACCCAAAATGATATGCGAGCCCTTAGCAATGGACTCCTCGCCCATCAATTGACCGACTTCATGGAGCAGCTCGGTGTCCCATGTTGCGCCCAGTGCCGTGGCACAAGGGAAACACGCGGCTGGGACGCCGTTGAAGAAGCGAGTTCCGCGCACGCCGTTGGGGCCATCGGACATGCGGAGAGTTGGGATGTTGAGGCGGGGCACGGAGGCTGTGTGCCAAAAGTCGATTCCTGGGGTTTTGTTAGGATCTTTTTTTTTATTCGTCTTGCGATCGTGGGGGTTTGACTTACCGGCCGTCAAGGCGACCTTCTCCCCTAGAGAGAGTTCTTCGATGGTCTTTTCCACATCGAGGCGAGGCATTTTGAATATGCTGTATGGGTATATCTACGTTTTCTATTGTTCAGGCGAAGATGAATATATAAAAAAGGAAATGACGAAATAGTAGGATTAAAAGGATAACTATTCCAACAAAACCATGGGCGGAATAGTGTCAAAACGACAGATGTAGAGGTAGCAAAGAGCATAGAGGTTAGAGGAATAAAAAAGAAAGCAGATCACGAAGGACTGTGAGGCACACAAATATATATCCCAACTACCTACTCCACCACGGGGCCAAGGATGATTGACAATGCAGGCTGGTTAATAGCGAAGCCTGGAGAGTTCGTGCCGACACTCCCCGCTTGATGTCGCAAGCACGGATCATCTATCAATTGGTGGATCTTGTTTGGTGGCCATTCTTCCTCGGCTGGGATGAGCCTCTGCGGTGAAACCCAGAGGTTCACATCGCAATCTCTGACCGTGGACCCGAAACACGTAGCGATTAATGATTCATTGCCAAAGTATTGCCCATCACGGAGCGATGAAAAGGGAACGGGCAATCAGCCGAAGTTTAGCCGCCGCGGAAAATCGGACCGTCGTGCCTACACTATCCTTTTCCTACAATGAGTAACCCAACCAGTTCTCCGCTTATGTTGCTGATTAGTCACTAAACTGCTGGGTAAACTTCCCTTTCCGGAAAATATGGGCTCGATGGATCGCTTAATTTGGCAACGACATAAGTATTATATTCTATCTATTCTGTTGTTCTTGTTAAGAATTCCTTGAATCACATGGTGGTCATGGGAACCCTTTAACTTGGTAGTCTTTGCCATGCTGGCTCTTTTTTTTCTTTGCCCTTTTGTCACTTCATGTTTTTGGTCTTCTTTTATTTTCTGTTTTGGATGTTGTGAAGAAAGTGACCCTAGATAATATCGACCTTTCGGATAATGTTTCCTAGAGGAAGAAAGAAAGACAAGAACCAGCACTGCCACGACATCATTGTAACGCCAGGGTCTGTAGGAAAGAGATACCAGTCCTTTTCGGTCGATCTTTGCTCTGACAGGCACCCTCGTGTTAATGTCTTTCGCTGCAGGTAACTGGTCTTTTCTAGCAATATTACGTATAGGAGTTGGCTCGAGCTACATTGTGAACTAGACTCACATTACCTTTACCATTTTTCATACGTCGAGTTACAAGGAACATGCTCCACACTTTTGCTTCTGCCATTGATGCTCTACCGCTGCCGATCAGCGGCCATTTGACCATCAAAGGAGCAGAAAAGGAATCGTCAAAGTACAACAGCTTTTCCGCCGGAAGAAATCCAATGCCCTCATGATTTGCATATTACAATCAGAAACGCATAAGCCCTTTGCAATCTAGTTGTGCGTTGATAGATAAGAGGTCAAAGCCGCTTCTAAACACAATTATAAAAGATGCGCAACGAATGGCAAGACCAGAAGGGATTACGCTTCATGATTTAAGAATGAAAGCAAGTGCTAGGCCGAGGGCAAATGCTCAATCAGAAACGTCTCTAGAAGGAAGAGGCACGCAAGACTCCATAAGAACATTGACAAATCTTTGACGAACAACAACGGATTGAGCACTAGGTGAGCAGCAATTAGTGAAGGCAGGTTAACAAGCGAGGGTTTAAGGAAGGAGACAGTATGAAGAAGGCAAGAGTTGATTTTAGATCGTTCCAGAGAGAAAATACGGCTCTTCTCAGTCCACTAGGCACTGTAGCCTTTATGGGAATCGGTTGCATTCTTTGTCGACGTCTCAATCAAGTCGGTTTACTCAGCGCTGAGGTTATCCGCTGTCGCATATACTGATTCCCCTGACTTTGCGCTGCCAGTGTTTTAGACCCTATCCGCCACATCGGTATTAGCAGTCGTCAACTTTCCTCGAAGTGCCGCCCCCTGATCTCTTGCCATACGTTGTATGAACTTTTCCTTTTGATCCTGTTCTTCCGATGTTTAGATTTGCCTGGAGGACAATTGTTTCATTTTTCTGTACGACGCCCAATGTCTGATCCGGTTGTATTCTTTGTAGGTTCTGTCAGCCCTTCGTAGTGTATTGAATACTGGCTCTTCCGACGCTTCCTGAAATAGAGTCGACGATACAGGGAACAGGCTGACCTTTTCTTGTTGGGTGTTGTGGTCGAAATGACCGTTTCACTGGATATACGTATGTATATGTGTGTATATGTGACTGAAAGGATTGAATCGAATGGAATAGAGATTGCTGTTGCATTGAACTAAGAGAAATAATATGGACTTTTTACATCCCCCGTTATGCCCTGCTCCTTCCTGTTTCTTCCGCTTCCTTTTCTTTCATAACAGTATTCTTCCTATGTATCGGTCTGTACTTGTTTGCCCTCCAAAGTTCTGCATACTTCCTGTGATTGTTTCTTGAAAGAAGTGATGTCAGCGTTCCTATCTTTCATTGCCTGTTCAGTCGCTACTGTGGCTTTTCTTTGCCAGTAATTGAAGACTTGTTTTGTTTCCTTCTATATTGTCTCTTTAATTGTTGGGTAGATGATGGGTGTCAGTGAGCGCGACCCATACCTTTCAGTAGCACCAAAATCGATTGCAGGAGGAGTGACAGTGGGAGAACAGGAGCAGTTGGAGGAAACATTGGATATAATACTATCAAAATAAAGGATTCATTATTCTCCAACATTGCAATGACTTGCCGGAGTATCGATGAATCAAGAAATGATAGAGCCGTGCCAATGTTGACCTATGAAGGAGTAGTATCCATCCCCGCAGAAGCAGGGAGTTTCCTGCAATGTCGTCTTCCAGGGCACACCAGATCAGATACCAAAAATATTCTTTCAGCAAAACTTTGTTCTCAAAACCTAGCCCTTATTCCGGCTGTGCCTCTATTGAGTGATTGATAAGATCACTGTGGAACAATGTCCACGAGCGCCGTTTGAAATCCTGCTTTAGAAATATCGTTTCTGCGTACGTCGAGATAAATTATTTCCGATCCGATCTCTTCATATAGCCCGCGATCTGGCCTTCGATTCTAATTAGTAAACTTCATTTAATGTAGCATACTTACACCCAGCCTACCTAGTATGTGCCGCAGATGAGCCTCAGTTTGCGGTAGGGTAGCATCTTCGAGACCATGCATGAGCCATAACCCATGACGTATTCATTTCCCCTATGCGACAATGCGCATGCTTCCGGAAGTTGTCATTAGCCCAATATCTGGAACTTTGCCTGTCATGCTCTTGTCGTCTCTGGACTTATAGTCCGCGAATCTCATATCCACATTGGCTGTGGAGCAAATGGCCCCCATTGTTTACAAACTAGCCTTGGACGGGTGTCTCATCCCTGATATGTAACATGTTCATTAGTAATTCTAGCAGCTGGTGCATTACGTCGATGTTTGAATGTGCGTAATTGTCCATATTGCTCGAGATGTGTAACGGTATCCATTACTCAATCTGCTGGATGAGGCTTTTTATCGTCATAAGGTTGTTGTCATTCTCATGGTTCAGTTCTATCTGACTATCTAAAGATATGCTCGACATGTGACTTGATGACATGTGACAAGATGCGAGCTTTTTTAAAAGGTTCCGTGTGTCTCTCTCAAAGTAAGTTGTCACAGTGTGAGAGGACGCCGATGAAGTGTATGTCATGCAAAGTAGAAGAGATGATGGTATCAGGGCCAATTTGAGGTCTGGTAGAGCCTCCTTAATTAATGTTTTTGCTTTCTTTTTACCGACACTGGCTGGTATCTTGAGGATGAAAAAGTAGTAATAGTAGTCTCCCTGGATAGACCATTATATAGAGAAGAATGTCGTAGAGAATTGTAGTGAAAAAGATTCATCATGAATAAGAATCATATTGAATGTCTACCTCAGCCTGTGCATTGCAAGCAGTGAACACACAGTATAAATTCACAGCTAGTACATATGTGGCTATATTGGAACCATTGTCGTGAATACACAATTGAACAATCATCACAGACCATAGTGAACGGATATCATGCAGCCATGCTCACAAAAGATGACACGCTCACTGGATGGCAATATCGGCACAAGAGAGGTAAATCTGGCCAGTCTGGAAGGAGTTCCACTTGAACGAAATCAAGGTGTGGTTGGAAGTGTACTCCGGCAGCTTGACCTTCTTGGTCACCGTGTAGCCACCTGCAATACTGGTGTAGCAAGAGTTCAACTCCGCATTATCAACACCCTGGCACTTAGGCCGGTCAGAAGCCTCGAAGCCATTGCACGTAAACCAATCATTACGCCAGCAGGCCTGTCCCTCGGAGCAATCCGCGCTGTACCCGCACTCCTGGCCATTGACATCTGTGCAGGGCAGCAGACCTGCGTCAAAGCAATCCTCAGCAGCCTGCTTCTCGTCTTCAGTGGGCAGGTAATTCGGGTCGAGGAACTTGTCGACAATACTCTGGTCTTGGCAGATTCGGTAGGTGAACATGCCGCCGTGGTCACCGTTGTGGTCGACACACCATTGGACTTCAATCTCTTCGCCAGCAGTGTAGCTTTGCACAGCCTCGGAGCCCCAGTTAGTGGTAGGTTGGTTGTAGTCGATACTGTCACGGGCGTTGTAACCACAGGGTCCGCTACGGCCAACTGGTGCCGCATCGAGGTCCGGCCAGGACTCGACAGGCTCGAGAATCGCACACTCAGGGCAGGAGTCAACACCGGCCTGGGGTCGTTAGTTGAGTTTTTGCTGTACGTTGGGAATAGGAAGAAGGGCAAATACCTCGTTGCCGAGACGGGTTCGGCTAGAAGGAATGTACATGTAGCCATGGCCTGCTACGGAGGTAGCTAAACCCAGGGAGAGTAATGCGGTGGTGGCCTTCATTTTTGATAAAGACTCGTTGGAGCGGTTCGATGCAAAGAAAATTAAAGAGGTGGTATTCAGTCCTTGGGAACAAGTCGTGATTCTCATGCGTTTAATGTCTTCAACAAACACCCTTTCATCCTGATTTTATCCTCCTTTATATACAATGACTCAAAATAGGATCGACATCCTTGTTGGACCATCTCCACCTGACTCGAAACATGCCCGAGCAGGGGACGGACATTTAATCCCAGTCCGATCTGTTCCTGACGAAACAACCTGCCCTGGATGTGGTGGAGACCGGACTATGCCGGAACGGCGCGAATACAAGATTAACGCTCTTCAGGGCTGTCGATAGTGAAGATCATAGCTCGATGAAGGTTAGTACGTGCCAAGAGTCATATATACTCCGTGATCGATAGAGTCGGCTCTCGGGCGCTTGACATCTAAGCGATCTTGGCGTGAGGGCGGAGTGGACGACAAGGTCCGGTAAATTTCCGGTGGTCATGGATTTATGCAAGAAATGCTAATTAATCTCGGGCCGGTGCTTTTGCATCCTGTTAATCGCGTGTGGGGGTAGAGAGATGGAGGGTAAGTGTGAGGTATGTTCTACCTGGTTGGTTGGAAACAGATTGGACGTTTTCTGGGTAGACGCACAAGATTAGATTGTTTAATATGTTGCAGCTCAGTGTCCTCTGTGAGGGGAAATGCAAAAAAAAACCCCCAATATTTGAGTGTATATTTTGTCTGTGGACTGTGATAACAAATCCTCTCGCGCCGACAAAAGTTGCATACCTACAGGACACGCCCAAACGATAGGTAACCTGTAGGATGGTATTCATATTCCCATCTCCTCTGTTCATCTTTCTTCAAGCCATTGAAATAGAATATTAACAAGACAAATTGCAACCGCTAGTAAAAGCCTAACGGACCTCCAAACTCCGGCCTGTGCGCCAAAGGTAACACCCCTGTCATCGACTTTGGCTGTAAGCTTAGCCCAACATCCTGCCTTTCAGGTGTGTTGACGGTCTACTCTATAGTTTCCGATGGAACAGATGCCCAATGCCAAGGGAGATAGATAGCATAGATCCATCATACCTGCCAGGACTATAGCTTTTTCCAGAGAGGTTCGGCCATCTAGGTTGTAGGATAGGTTCACTGCCGTCCCTTTTTGTATCACATTTACGGGGGTATATTCGACTACAGTAACAGTAATTTTGCCTGGCCACATGTCCAGATGCTGATCTTTGACAGATCGCCAAGAGTTAGATGCTACTGAGTTGCATCTGAATATAATACAGCGTCGGATCTATTCACTGGGCAGGCCGCAGGCGATAAAGCAAAACATCATGATCCAAGAGCTTCCGCAAAACGATGGCCACACCGATAGACAATTTAAGGTAACGGATATCCTAGATTGGGAGTATGCTACGTTCTTTGCGGATTCTCTCTGGGCAAGAGAATGGGAAAAGGAGATCGAAACATTCATTGATCCTTGGCCTCTCGAAGCAGCGCTTTCAAGACTGTTCAAGTATAATTTGGAGGGGTTCTAGCACGACAATTAAGCCGAATGAGTTTAAGCGGGCCAGGTAATTATATCAACCGCTGCTGGGCTTTCAGCTATCTCCGTGCACGATTGGGATTCGTTTCTCCGACAAATCTTTGGTCAAAAGTCAGGTGTTGCAATACTTTTGACTGAGAGGTTTATAATATATTCAACTGCTGGGCTGAGAATTCACTATCCCACACAGATTGCTATTTTACGAATGTGTCATGACCATTGATCAGTTTGCTATGTACTCGCTTACATAGTTGTAGCTTGTCATAACGCTTCCCGTGAGCCCCTTCGGAACATAGAAATGCGCACAAAAAAGACCTACTCTAAGGGTGCTTTTGTGCCATCATCGCCTCTATTCGGAAACATCACAAGGGTCTTTTCCAGCGCCTGCAACCCTTGTAGGCAGTTGTTCAGGCCGGTTGTCAGTGTGTACACGTTTCTTGTCTCCATCCTAGTCATCAATCGCTGGATCTCGTCCGCAAGTATTTTGGCAGTCAGTGTATAAGCCTTGACAACAAGGGCCGGTCGCTGTGCAGTCCGGTCAGCCTTCAGGGGTACTATGGTCACAAAATGGTCACCCTCACCGGATGCGCAGCAATGTCCTGTACATTTGCCTTCAAACCATTGGCCCCCTGAAATCCGGGGCTCGGCACTCCGATACTCAGTGAAGCTAGATAGGATATATTCATGGCGCTGGCGAGTCTCTCTTCTTGACGATACGCACTCGTCGACCGGAGAGTCGTGTAGAGGCTGTCTTCGACTGACAATGATTCCACAAGGGTCGCCTCCAGTTCGCGGATAAGCTCATCGAACAGGAGAATCGCCAAGTCGCCATCGGTGGCGCAGAAGAGAACCCTGCGTTGGACATTCGCTAGGGACGCTTGTAAGCTCTCAATAGTTGTAGGGGTGATTGAACCAAAGGCTTCTCGCCACGAGTCGATAAGCGTGGTTATCGCAGTGTAGTGGCGCAGAAAGTCTTCATAATTTCCCGTACCTGCCAACAGATCCTGCGATGCTAGTGTCAGCAGAGCTAGTGACCGCCACAGCAGCACAGCAAGGGAGCCTGCATTAGTGACAGCGCGATCCACAATATCGCACGATACGCTCTGCGACCACAGCGCAGTTACATTGTGCTGTTTAGGCCGAGCGCGAGCAAGAATAGAATTCTCAATTTCTTGCTCCTGCCTCCTGGTCTTCGTTTCGTCTAGATTGCTGGGCTGTGCCGGTCCCTGCAAGGCTAATTTGTTAATACTCGCGTATTGAAGGCCGAGATTTGTCGGGTCCGTTTGCTCACGAGACATGGCGATGGAGGCGGAGTGAGACATCCAGAAGAACCACTCAATGGCGCCAACCACTTCTAGGATGTATTGCCGAGCCTCGGGCGAGAATTCTTGGACGATATGTGACTTTCGTCTCTCAGTGCTGGCGCCTACCGTTCTTAAGGACGAGAAAGAGGGGCTCCCTTTCCCGCGATTTTCCTGGAGATAGACACGCGCATTAGAACAGAGTGCTCGAATACGCCGAGCCCCCTCACGATGCGCGTAAGCGACATCCTCTGCACACGTTTCGCTCTGCTCTAGCCCCGTCGGTGGCAAGATTCCGCTAAAAAGAAGAAGAGAGAGTGCCAGGCGAAAGGACCCAGTGGCTCCGATGTTCTTGAAGAGCATCTCTCTAGCCTTTTGCCATGTAGCATAAGCAATGTCTCTAGCGAGTGCATGGGACTTGGCAGTTTCCGTACAGTTGCTTTCGTGCACTATGAATTGGGTGGCTATTGCAATAGCAACCCATTTGTACGTTTCATCAATAGCTTCATCTCGCATATTGCTAGATGTAGGGCTCTGCCTCGGGTGCTGAAAGAGTGCGTCCAGAAGCGACACAGCGAGATAAAGATTTGGTGTCGCAGATGTTGAGTTCCACGATGTCAGGTTCATGTGCCACGAGTGATCGATATTCCATCGGGCGCGCTCCAGGTACGGTGATACATCACCACTGTCGCCCAGTGGAATCAGAGCGTCAATCCCTAGAGAATAGCAAGGAGGCATGCATCTCTCGGAAAGGCATGTTGTGATCTGCATATCAACGACATCGATGTATAAATACAAGTGCTGCAAGCACCTCTCTCGTGCCTCCAGCTGCTTCGCTTGGTCCCATTCGGCCCGGGGTATCAACGGTAAACCCTGCATCTGGGACACATCCTCGACTGGCTTTAATTGGGGATTGGGGGCCTCGTTGCCCACGGGAGATCGAGGGGAACTTTCTGTCCGCCTCTGGACATGGTGGGAGGGTTTCCGGCTAGCTAACCAGGCCACCGTACATTCCATACTACGGAGAGAGCACATGGTACACGCAACTGTGGGTTTGTCACCACAGATTGCTACCCCCCTTGGTAGATCGCATCCCCGTTTTGCCAGACGACAGGGATCACACGAGTGGTTCTGTCGACGTATCCGCCGCCCTGAGCTTTGCTTTTGTGGTGTGGAGACTGGATCAAGCCCCTGTTGAATATTGACGGCGGGTGCTGAACAGGTTCGATCGGTATTTTGATAATGTGAGTATGAATTGGTGACACTGTTAGTACAGGGTCCCTGGTTCTGGTAAGAACCCTCCAGGCTCTCTAACCGGCCCAGCTCTGTCTGAATCCATCGCGGTAGCTGTTCCTTTTCACCCTCATGGGCGACAGAGCTCACGGATAGGCCCAGCTCTGAACCGGGGGGAGTCAACCATAGTGGCAGCGAAAACTGAAGCTCATTGATCGGAATTATCTCGCATTCATGGTTTGGGTCATGCGATAGTTGCGGAAACTGCAGGCAATTGTCTGGTGAAGAGAATGTCATTTTCTTGCTGTTGCGATTCCGAGGGAACCGAATTACATAACGGGACTATCGGCAGTGAGATATCCTGGGATCCGCTCATTTTTCTTCGAATATATTTCCGGGGGAGAATGCGGAGGTCGATTGATACCCGACAGGAGAACCTGGGGAAAGGTCCGCGGGGGGGTCCGCGGGTCCCGACCAACTCCACCATTGATTGAGTTTAGGATACGATAGTATAGTTTGGGGTACGGGGTAGAAAGGAGATTAGAACTCATGTCCCAGCGACAGCATTCCGGTGTATCAGGCAAGTGACGCTGGTACATGCAGACCTCATGGGAGAGTGGCGTTTTAGATATTTCCTTGAAGATGAGGCCAGATGATATGAGAATGGGATTCTTTTCGCACCGTGGATCACTGGCTATGCTAACAGTCAATGGCCGGATACAACCCATTAGTACGTCAACTTTCGGGGCTTTGTAGGCTTTGTATATCCTCTATCCCTCTGACGTGCGTACGAGTTTGGCATCGTCTCTGGCTCCACATGTCGTTGAACTGCCCCAGGCGACGGCAAAGACCTGATACTTTTAGAGTTACCAGGTTGACGTCGATCATTAAGAGGAACCGCGGCTCCGCTTCCGCTCCCCATCGACTCATACTCCACCAGTATCTCCGTAGCGAATGGCGAGTTCCAGGTACGCTTCTCTTTCGGCAGCCGCGGACACCGAGGCTAATATCGAGGCTCCCTCACCATTTGAACATTTGAGTGTTCACCCCGAGGCTCATAATATTTCAGACCGATCCTTGATACTGTGTGGCATCAAAGATCTCTCACATTTGCTTTTGAGGTTATCAACGCATCCCAACCCACAAACAAAGATTATGTCGGACCGTCTATCTTCCAAACGACATGCATTCTTCGAACCGAACTTGGAAATCTCCCCACAGGACATTGAATATTTCTCCTCCCTCCCATTTGCTTCACCCTATCTAAACAGCCCACTCTACGAGCCAGTCCCATTCTTCACCCGATATGAGACAAAAGACACCTCCAATAAGTTCTTCAGTAAAGTGATCAACACCGCCGATACAGTCCCATACTTGCTGGCCCTGAATCGCATACCGGATTTGAAGTCAAATCAAATCCCAGATCAACGTGACGATGCAAAGCCAGATTTCGTGGTTTTCATTTCTCTGGGCCCCGACTTGTGTGGATTCCAAGATACGGTCCACGGTGGAGTCTTGGCTGCCCTGCTTGACGAAGCGCTAGGCTTGTGTGCCGAAGCCACCGAGATAGTTTCGAAAGGTGATACGCGGTTGTATACCGCTGGTCTTGAGATTTCGTATCGCTCCCCTGTACATGCACCGAGCGTCGCTATGATCAAAACATGGGTCACGAAGAGGCAGGGCAGAAAGTGGTTCTTGGAAGCGCAGGTTCTTGATCAGGATGGCGTGGTAAAGGTAGAGGCTAAGACCTTGTATATTAGCTCGAGACCTGCTGCAGCATTATAAGGGAGACTTTTAACCATTTTCTTGTTTACGTTGGGTTTCTACTTGAGAAATAGTAACTCATCTGCCTGCCCCTCAAGTTCTAGCGGTATCAGGCATTGTTATTTATCTTGTTTTCCTTGGACCCGGCTTAATCTTTATCTGTCGTAATTGATACTATCTTGATCACTTCTCAAAGAGAAAAGAAAAGAAAAGAAAAAAAAAAAAGGATTTTCAGATCCAGGTATTTGAACATTCATCATAGACGTGTTTTAATATGACAATATGACATGAGGAGAGCATACATCCAGACGTGAAACGCATTACTGTTTACGTACAATAAAAAAAAGAGGCTTTATGAGCTTCAAAGAAGAAGAAGAAGAAGAATAATAATAATAATAATCCGTATTCCTGACTTTGGCGGATACTAGTTTTGCTATATTCACCACCATGATCCTCAAGCCTACCAAAAATATTCCAAGTCTACAACCCGGTCGCCAACAAACTACCCCTCAACCGACTGAAGAATCTGATCCTGAGGGCAGCCAAGCCTCTCCATGGACTTGATAAATGTCTCCAGCTCAGCCCAGTCCTCTGGGCATTGAACTCCAGGCCGCTTCTGTGACCCCAGATCCAGCACCATCAAAGCAAAAGCAGCACAAGATGCCCCAATCGAAGTCGCCATGCTCTCTCCCATGAACGAGTCCTTTCTAGCAGCAGGTGTACGCCTAATGACGACAGCTGGATGTCCATTGCGGGTGCCAACGCCACGAACGAGAATACCCGATCGACGTGGCGCTTGCTTGCCCCGTGCGGAATCGACCAAAAAGCTTAGAACCTCGCCCGAGGTGCATTCTCCTTTACGCACCTGGTTGATCATGCCCCATAAGGCAAGGTTCCATGGCTTGAGGGACGCAATACCGTGGGAAGCTAATTGGTATAGCTGGTTGAGTGTAATGTCACCGCCCCGGAATTGAGAGGTCATGGCACCGATGGTCTCACTCCAGCTAGCAGAGGGCTTTGTCTGCATACCCTCGAGGAAGTCGACGGCTGCATCCATAGAAAGAGCCCCAGAGTGGACTGCGGCACCCAGACCTCGTGCAAAGCCGTTGAATGGTGCAGGGCTAAGAGCACCCATGGTTCGAATCCGAATAATATTTGGGAGTCGGCGCGGCAAGGTAATCGGCTCGGGATGGACACTCTCATGGAAAAGATCATTAGAGCCAGTAATAACGGGGGCATAAGCTGTCTCGACCCAGTTCTCATGGACTGCTGCTTTCCCGTCGGCCCAGGTTAAACAAGGTCCACCTGTGATATGCATCAGGTGCTCCAGGACCTCTCTACCTAATTGACCTCCCTCTTCGCTGACGAGCCAACAAATATCAAGACTCTCGACGGTATCAAGTTCTTTGGCGATATCAAGGGCGATAAGATTGGTCATTCCCGGAGATGAACCACAATTGGTGTAGCAAGGGACGCCCTCCCTCTTTGCCTTTTCATGCAAATCGAGTGACGCTTGTGTGCTGTGCACGTCATCAGAATAGTCCAGGTAGGGTACCTTTGCGTCGATACAAGCTGTGAGTACTGGTGTTGAGGTTCGATAGTATGGTTGCGCTCCTTGAATTACGAGCGCAGCTCCGGCGATAGTGCTTCGTAACTCATCCGGATCGAAGAGGTTCACCTTTCGTATGGTGATATTTTTACCGGGTAGCTTGGTAACAACTCCACGGAGTGCATCTTCGTCGGAGTCTGCGAGAATGACAGGTACGTCGCTTGCTTGCACAAAAGTCCTGATAGCTTCTCCGCATATTGCGTCTGCGGCACCAATAAAGATGACTGGCTTTGAGCCGGTAGAACTAATCTGCATATTGTAATGGGAGTAAGTCAAATCGGGCAGACGCTTTACATTCAAAGAAAAGTACAAGATGAATTACCAGCAATATTGTCTTAGTAGCTGAATAGTAGAGACTGGCTTTTACCTTAATCTTTATACTTCACTTAGGGAGGTGGTAGATCCACATCTGGGTTACTGAACCTGATTATGCCCCGAAGTCGGGTTGTACCTGATCTGAAAAGACTTTGAAAACACACCCGCGGTTCCAAGCCATCCATATGCCAAAGACCCGGCGGATCATAACGGATCGGCGAGAGGAATGAGTGAAGTTGGCCACGCGGGGAGAGACAAGATTCGGATCCGCGGGTTCCTGATGGGGTGTTAGGGTTTAGACAGGCGATCGAATGCTCGGAGTTACATTAACCTTCACCCATACTGAAAGTTGGAGGCAACAAGTTACCACATAACTCTGAAGAGCTCATGCGTTGAGAGCATAAAAGCAAGGCATTGCCCCTTAGTTTGGATTCACGATGAATCATTCATTATAACGCAAACCATTCTGTTTTCACAACCAAATCTAACCCAAGATGGCGGCGAACCAAATTCCACAAGAGCTCCTGGCCAAGTTAGCTGGCCAAATCATCCGGGACCCTGGCATTCCAGTCGCAGCTCCAACTGTTTCAGCCTGGCAAGAACCGGCACATCCTATCGCGACTACCCAATCTGAAGATTTGCCGCAGCGCACTGACTTTGCCATCATCGGTTCTGGTATCACTGGTACCAGTGTTGCCAAGACACTCCTTGAGAATGGACTAGCACGCGATAAGACGGTCACCATGTTCGAAGCTCGGTCTCTGACTACCGGGGCAACCAGTCGCAATGGGGGCTTTCTACTGAGCCATGCTCCGCCGTTCTTCAAACGTTATGCCGAGGCATTTGGCACCGATGCTGCCAGAAAGATTGCCCTATTCTGTGACCACACACTGGAAAGCATTGTTGATATGGCCAAGGCTGAAAATCTCGACAATGTAAGCCAGATCAGAGACGTCACGACGGTCGCTAGCTTCGAAGATGATGAAGGTTTCGCCGAGGTGGTCGAGTCTATTCGCATGTACGAAGAGGCTATTCCTGAGGCTAAGGGGAAATATACAATTATCAACAAGGACACAGCAGAGAAGGTAATGCGTTCAGTGGACCCACTTGCTGAAAACGACATACTGATTGTTCCAACAGGAGTATCATCTCAAGAAGTCTAGTGGTGCTCTGGTCGTTCATTCTCACGTTTTCTGGCCATACAGGCTAGTTACGAACCTTCTGCAGCGCCTTCTCCAACTTTATACAGAGCGTTTCGCAATCGAGACTCACACGCCAGTAATCTCGGTCACAATTGATGAGGCTGACAATGAATACCCCTACATATTGACAACTCCCAGAGGGACAGTCAGAGCCGCCAAAGTCTTTCACTGCACCAGTGGCTTTACAGGCCACTTTCTACCCAAGCTCAGGGGAGCAATCTTCCCATGCCGACTATCCATGACAACGCAGAAGCCAGGACCCCAGTGGGGAAACCGCCCCAACTCATGGCTCTTCCATTCCAAGCAATCGTATGACCCCAGCACCACCGTAGTCGAGCAAGGTCTATTCTGGATGCAGCAAAATGCAGAAACCGGTGACCTGTTCGTTGGAGGCGACCTGCAGAGGTTGGACGACTTTCTGTCCTCAGACGATTCTCTCATCAGTGCTGAATCTGCGAAAAACCTTATTGACTTGCTCCCTAAGAGGCTCTTCAAGGAGGGGTGGACCAATCCCATCACAAAGACTACAATGACCTCCGCCACTGCTCTTCATAGAATCTGGTCTGGAATTCTCAGCATGACGGCCGATCAAGTCCCGATTGTGGGGAGCGTGCCGGCAAGTATCAGCGGTAGAAATCTTGAAGGGGGAGAGTGGATTGCGGCTGGCTTCAATGGATACGGCATGTCACAGTGTTGGTTATGTGGTGAGGCTATCGCTCGTATGGCCTTGGGAGAGCCAAAGCCAGAGTGGCTCCCGGATGTCTACCTGAGTACTGAGAGGCGCCTGGGGGATGAAATGTCCATGGGCCCAGAGGCAGCCCTGGCGTCATTTTTTGCAAGGTGATATAGGGTGATAGATGGGTTTGGCATGCAGGTGTCAATCTGAAGGAGTTGTATTGAGAATCGAATCATGACCGCTGGTTTAGTTCTGTGAATAGTATGACTTTAGGTGTAATTGCCAACGCCGCTTTCGCTGATCATCTTAGAGTCCTTCATGCTACATAGCCAAGCTTATATCGGTAACTTAATGCACGGCAGCTGGCATCTCCGAAGAATTACAATAAGATATTGTTCAAGAAGACCGTCTAAATTACACCTTTCTGGCTTTGACGAGGCAAAATGTGTACCTAGCTCTTAGAACATTCACCATTTACTTGGATATATGAGATACCCCCGGTTTGCATCCCCTATCCAGCTATACATATAACAATATGCCAAAAATGGTTTTTTTCGGTCTGACCATACTAATCTACAAGTGATTTCCCCTATTTTGACAATATATATAATTCTAACCCCTAAATACATACTTATTTCGACCATTCCAAGCCTGTCTGTATATCCCCCCACCAAGCCCGTATAAGGTCCTTCCAATAGTACGACCGAGGTTCCCACTGAGGCCGATCACCAACTTTCGGAAAAGCCGAACCACCCATCCTAACATACGTAGCGTTCAAATTAAGGAACGGCAGCTCCTTCATCTCACTTTGCTCTTCATCACTACACCGCGGAGACACAATGCTCAACCCTTCCTCCCTCATTTGTTTCAATATCCGACAGGTCAGCTGTGCAGTTGCATCAGCACCCAATGTCCAGCTAGCATCGACATATCCCAGAGCAAACACCATATTCGGTAGCCCATCAACCATCGTACATTTCCACATAAAATGGTCCGGAATCGAAAACCGGACTCCGTCAACCGTGATGGGAATTCCTCCTGCGATGTTCATTTTCAATCCGGTAGCAGTGATAATGATATCAGCATTCAATTCGGCGCCGGATTGCAGCTGGATGCCCCTCTCTGTCACTGTTTCAATCACCCCGGTTACCACGCTGCCACTTCCGTTCCGGAGACATTCAAAAAAGTCACCGTCGGGACATGAGCACATCCGTTGTTCCCATGGATTGTACCTGGGCGTGAAATGGGGATCCAATGGCACCTCCTTGGGGAGCTCCCTGCGGGTAACTTCGAGACATAACCACTTGGCGAGTTTAGGGAACCAACGGCAAAAAGTCACCAATATGAGCGGCACGATGATCCATTTGAGTCGAATAAGGCTGGATGCTAACCGCTCGGAGCAGATCCATCGAATCAGTCTCTCGTTAGCGTCTTCACTTGGAAACGACAGCACATAGCTAGGGGAACGCTGTAACATAGTCACACTAGATGCTTCCTTCGCTAGTGACGGCAACAGGGTGATAGCCGTCGCACCGGAGCCGATAATGACGATATCCTTGTTGGTATAATCGATGTCGGATGGCCAAAACTGCGGGTGGATGACTGTTCCTTGGAATCGATTGGTCCCAGGAATATCGGTCGCCAGCGGTTCATGATAGTCATAGTACCCAGTGCCCATCATTATGAACCGGGTGCGTAGAGACACGGTGGCCGCCCCGTCTTTGGAGACATGAACCGTCCAGGCCTTATTACGAGTGGACCAATCCATCCTATCCACCCGATGGCGGAACTTGATTTTCTGGTCGATTCCTTCCTGCTCCGCTGACTCCTGGAGATACCTACGGATCAACGAGCCGTGCGCGATCGAGTTCTTTTGAGTCCAGGGACGCCATGCAAAGCCAAACGTAAACATATCGGAGTCGGACCGTATTCCTGCATTTAATCCCCTTTAGTCACAATCAAAGTCCACCAAATACCCCGTCAGCCCCCAGCATACCTTACCTGGATACTGAAACAAACTCCACGTTCCACCGATTTCATGTCGTTCCTCAAGAACACAGTAGCTCAAGTCCGGATGGCTCTCCTGCAGCCTATACGCAAAATTGATCCCAGAGACACCAGCACCAATAATGATTACATCGTAGTCGAGACGGTTGTTTTCTTCAGACATGTTGAGGGGAAGGCGGGTATACTCTAGCCGTCGTTGAATTCAGGTAATGGTAATTTTCAGCATTAGATCAACCCCCGGCGACTGATATAGTTTTGTCCCCGGCTGGCCTTGTCCAGGGGTACGGCTGTATCATACGCATTGCCACTTCAACGCCCGTGAACCCTAGGTTGATATCAACTTCTCCCTCGGTGCCGCGGGATCCGCGGAATGCGATGGTTCGGGGGGTGGCGGCTTGTATGCCTGGCTAAAGTGTAACTGCTACGCAAGATCTGCGACTCGTCTTCTGAACTGGAGTCGGTGTCGGAACCGCTACTGAGCCGTGTGTTGCTGTATCCACACCATGGAACCATATTTTCCAATATGGAAGCCGTCCGGCTATCGGCCTTATAGCTCGGACCTTATAAATAGAGCTATACTGGTCACAACGCTTTCGCTATTCTTGTTAATCATCGTGTTGCACTTAAAATACGTTAGTATTGCAACCTTGACATGGTTTCATTTGTTCATATGCATCATCACTATTTTTAAAACGTTATTCTAGACTCTGTGAGAGCTCAAGAGTGGTTCTTAAGCCAAGGTAGGGGACGCAAGAGTGTGTACCTGGCTGGAATATAGTACCAACCAGCTTTGAGCCATGACAGTTGATGTTGCGTTGAATAGGTAAGGGAGTCAATTCAGTAGTAAACAGGAATAGTTGTGGCTTTTTTTATTCATGATTTACCTCTCACGGAAGGGAAAGGTAGATAGAATCTAGCTATAGGGGAAATAGTATACCAAACAGCTGGACGTAGGATACACACCGCACTTTATCTCTCGCTTCATCTGTACCAGCTAAGACAAGTGCGTGCCACGTCTCAGAGAGCTATCCCTTCTTACTGGGATTATATTTCAAGACCAGAGCGCGGTGGTGCATTTACATTCTGGATTAAAGTGTATCATTATCCACATACGTTAAGCTGGTATCCGTCCAAGACGCTAAAGAAATGTAGAGAATACACGTGGACTCCAAACGAGAGCCGAGAAGGTTATCCCAATGCAAGAAAGATTTAAACACCGTCCAACAATGCATAGATGCGTCATATAAAGAGAAACAAGGAAAAGTGTCAGGGTTAAAGAAAGACAATAAAGAATATCAACCGAATCATGTCATGAAATCTAATTTCACGCCCCTCGTCGAGGCCGTTTACTCTCACCCCCCATTCTCATGCCTCCTCGGCCACCGCCATCGCCGTGTCCACTTTCATCGCCCCCAGGTCTTCCACGCTTGCGATGGGAGCCTCCTCCGCTGCCGCCATCACGGTTATAGTCTCTGTCGCGTTGACGATCCCGGTTCCGATCCCGGTCTCTATCACGCGGTTCCCGGCCGCCGCCCCAGCGTCGATCTTCTTCAGCGTTACCTGGGAGGGGTGGCGGGGGAGGGGGCGGAGGTGGGTGTCCGCCAAGCGAAGATGGAGGCCGAAGGCGCCCTTCCTGTTCCTGACTCTGGGCGTCTGATGCATCCTCCCGGTCACGTCGACGACGATTGTCGTCGCGTGATCCGGCCCCTCGGCGTGATGCTTCGCGGGACTCGTACCGTTCTTCCCGAGTGCCACCTGCGCCGGCATCACTTCTACGACTGCGCTCACGTTCGTAGTCTCGCGTTCGATCTCGGTGCTCCTCTCTTCTGCTGCTACTCCGCGCTCCCTCCTCCTCGCCGGTCCGACGATCACGTTCCCTATCCCTATCACGGTCACGATCACGGTCCCGTTCTCTGTTGTGCTCTCTTTCTCGATCTCGGTCGTGGCCCGAGTACCGCCCAGACCTTCGTGACTCGGGTCCAGACTCCTCTACTGGCTCCCCACGAGCACCACCTGGTCGATTCCGGGGTTGTCCATCATCCTCGGCGAAAGAACCAGAGGGTCGGACGGCCATAAGGTCAGGCCGATTCTGTGGTGGTCCCAACCGACCGCCTTCATCAGGAGCCTGAGGAGCATTCATACCAGCAGGCTGACGGTTGGCACCTCGGCCACGAATGGTTGGGCCTGGGGCCGCACGCTCCGCCGGTCCTCCAGATTGTTGCAGCATGTTATTGAGTCCAGCAAACCGCTTATCACCACGACCCCGTTCACCACCGTAACCGGGGCCTTGGGGTGGTCCGCGGTTAAGAGACGACGGCCCTTGCGGTGGTCCAAGCGCACTACGAGGTCCCGATGGAGGAACAACGGATGCAGGAGATGAAGGATGGCTGGAGCGCATGGGTCCTCCAAATGACCCTTCCGTAGGCTGCGGTTGAAGGTTCTTCAGCCGGTCTGGATGGATTCCAGTGGTGTCAAGCCTTTCAGGGCCAGGTGACGATGGGGCTGCGGGTGCGGACTGGTCAGGACCACCACGCATACCCTGGCGACCTGGCCCAGTCGGCGGTTGGCGTTCATTAGGTGCGTTCGGGGTGGTAGATGGCCCAGGCCCGCCTCGTCCACCTCTTCCCGGTGCGTTTCTCATCCGGGGTCCAGATGGGATTTCGGCCGAAGGCTCTGGCTGACGCAAACGTCCGTGGCTCAGCTCAGAGTCTCTGGATTCGTGAGCTTCCATGGAGGGTCGTCCCACCCGTTCGCTGCGAGGTCCGGTCGGTAAATCCTCATGCCGAGAATGTGTTTGTCCAAAGTTACCGGATCGGCGGTCGTCAGGGAAGCGTTCCGGGCGGTTTGGAAGTTCCACTCTTGGAGGTGACAATGTTCTCGATGGCAAAGGTCGCCTATCATCCTTGTCTTGTCGCAGTGCATCCCCACGTCGATAGCCCTCCCGGTCAGGATTATCGTGTATCATCTCTGCGCGATCAGGGTGCGTCGGTGGACCAGAGCGTGCGCCAGGCGGTGCGTCTCGAGCATCCGAAGGGCGCAAACGTCCAGAGCGATCCGGCCACTCCGGTTCTCTTGGGAGGCGCCCCTCGCGGTAAGGAGGACCACGGAACGGCTCATCCATAGATGGCCTTAGAGGATATTCTCTATCGAGACGACCATAGCCTCTTCCATCACTCACAGGTTGTTCAAACGATCTATTGTAATCGTGCTCACCACCATAGCGGCCGCCTCGAGGGTAATCTGAATGCCTATCGCGTCTGTCGTCTAGAAGGTCCGGTCGTGGTGGCAACCTTCCATCCTCCCGGTAAGGACGATTAGGCGTATGCGCCTGCGAGCGTACATTTTGGTTGCTGGGCGGCGCTCGTTCTGGGTCAGGGCGTCGAGGAATGTTTGCTTGCCGGCCAGGTTCAGGCCCCTTTGGAGGCGCTTGTGCTGCAGCAGGTGCTGGGGAAGCAGGGGCGGGCTGACCAGTGGTTCGAGACTCAACCGCTGGAGTAGCAGGTTTGTCATTAGTTGTTGATTCAGTACCGCCTGCCTGCTGCGTCTGAGAAGCAGTCGGTTCAGCTGTGGTTGAGGCTGTGGTATCAGCTTTCTCAGACGACTTCTGGCCCAGTTTATCTGCGTCTGTTGTGTTCTTCGACGCAGCATCGGTCATTTTAGCGTCCTCAATCTCTCCATCCTCGACTTCCGTTTTTGTAGGTTCTGTCTTGAACGTAGCGTGAGGTCTGTGGTTTGAATTGTCAGAAACGCGGGTCAGGGTTGTAAAGTTATCCTTTAGGTTGTATGGACTTACTCGGTGGTTGGTTTGAACTCCACGGCGGAAGCGTTCAAGCCGGGAGTTGACGATTGAGGCCGTGACGGTAGAGATTTTCCATTTGTGTTCTTTTCAGCTGCTTCGCTCTTTGAGGGATTGCCCTTCCCTGCTGCGGGTTGACTAGTTATCATAAAGGCCTGGGGAAGCATCCATTTCTTTTCGCGCCGGTTGAGATCGCCAATCAGAGAGGCTGCGGGAATCTTCACATCATCTCGCTCGTCGTTCTGACTGAGATTGTTTACACTGGTTAACATATCACGGCCAATCCAGTTCACGGCAGGGAAGTTTTGCACAACTCCCTTGAGGACACTGATGGCATTGCGAATGTGCATGTATTCGCCGCCATTCAGACAAGTTTTGAGGGCAGCGGCCAGAAGACGGTGCCACTTGTACAAAAGTCGGCGGAAGTCCTCATACTCCAAAAATGTCGTTGGTTTGCCTTCCGGGTCAACAAGCATGGCAAATCCAGGAAGATCTTTCTTAGTTCCGAACGCTTCCTTCTCATAGACGGCCTTGTCAGCATGCCAGCGGCCAAGATCTCGGATGATCTCGTTAAGGAAGCGGCCAAGGTTATCAGCTTCTCTTGAAGTGCACTGGAAAATCAATGCGGTAAGTCTCTGCTCTCGGAACAATTGGTCTAGAAGACCGACAGTCCGAAAGTTAGGCGCTCCGGATGTATGGAGGAATTTAAGGAGTTTAAAGCAGTAAAATGCGTCAATAGGCGACAAAAGCAATCGGGGCATGAAGCACTGCTCTAGCAAGGCCACATTCAGCGAATCGTGTTTCCCACGCATACCAGCGAACCATCGATCCTTCTCCTTCTGCAGCTTCGTCCTTGTCTGGCCATAAGACTTCAGATGGGCCTTGTTCTCCTCCAGTATGCGGTCCTGAAGCTGAGTTATCTGCTTCTTTTCCCGCTCCTTTCTCTGGCTGCCAGCCATGCTAATGTCAGATCGGTCGTTACCAATAGCAATAACTTTCTTCTTCTGGCGGTCTATTTCGTCCTCATATGCTTTTTGAGGCACGTGAACGTCGTAAAGAGACAGTTGCCAGAAGGTGACATAGAAATGCAGGCCAACCACACCCCATGTTTCAGAAGGCAGAGCTGACTTTACCTGGTCTTGAAGGTCTTGCATAACAGGATTCAGAGGTGATTCGGAAGTAACTGAAGCTGTGGCGATGGCTTGTTCTGTCGTTTTGTTCACAGCATCGGTATCTGGAGGCTTTTCAGACTGATCTTTGTCAACATCCATGGCATTCTCAGTAAGCTGCCCGCCATCCTGAACTGCCTCTTCTCCTTCATCCGTTTCCATCTTGTCCGCCTCATCTTTAGGCGGAGATTGTTCCTC